TTTCTTTAGTGGTAACAGCTCATTTAGCTCCCATCATTATATATATATATAGTTGGGATTATGTTTTCCAATGTCCATTCCTTTACATTTATCAACCTCCCATTTCATCTGCCATTTTCTTGCCCAGTTACCCAGTTCTGTGAGATCCTTTTGTAGCTCTTCGCAGTCTGCTTTGGACTTAACTATCTTGGGTAGTTTTGTATCATCTGCAAATTTTGCCACCTCACTGTTTATGCCTTTTTCCAGGTCATTTATGAACAGGGATAAAGCCTTGTAGAATGCAGCTGACGGCCTCTATCATGTTCATTAAACGCAAACGAGCCATTGTGCGAGATCAGTGGCTCTCAACCTTTCCAGACGACTGCCCCCCTTTCAGGAGTCTGATCTGTCTTGCGCACCCCCCAGTTACACCTCACTTAAAAACAACTTGCTCACAAAATCAGACGTAAAAATACAAGTGCCCCAGCACACTGTTACTGACAAATGGCTGACTTTCTCATTTTCCCACCTAATTATAAAATAAATGGTTTGGACTATAACTATTGTACTTACATGTCAGTCTATAGCATATGGAGCCGTATAAAGAAGGCATTGTCTGTATGAAATTTTAGTTTGTACTGACTTTGCTAGTAGGCAAATATCTAGATGCGTTGATGTAGCCCCTGGAAGAGCTCTGCGTATCCCCAGGGGTACGTATATCCCTGGCTGAGAATCACTGTTCTAGATCAAGGATCAAAGACTTTTTTAAGTGCATCTCCCCCCCTCCATGAATCAGGGACCTGTGTGGGAACTGTTGCTATCAGCTTGATTTCTGATGGAAGACGATATAAACATGCTAAACCCAGGGTTATGAGTTCAATCCTTGAGGGGGCTATTTATGGATCTGGGGCAAAAATCTGCCTGGGGATTGGTCCTGCTTTGAGCAGGGGGTTGGACTAGATACCTCATGAGGTCCCTTCCAACCCTGATAGTCTATGTGGGTCAACCTGGGTCCAGCCTGAAAGACATTTTGAATGGACACATTATTACAGCTCCATCACCTTTAGGAACCATAGATGGTAACTCAGGTGCGTGTAGATGTTTCCTTGCTTTAACATGAAAATAAATCTCATTTAATCTTCCCAGTTAATAAACTGTTAGTTTATTCCAGGATTGGCTTCAGGCGCTGTCTTTGGTGTAAGATCTAGGGTACCAGTTGATCTGGGGTAAGTGACTGGTCTCTTGGCACTGGGAGCAACCTAAATGTGGTGTGATTTTTGGTAAGTGACATGGGATCTCTAAATCCAGCTTGCCTGGGTGGCAGCATAGATCCAGACAACCCAAGGGGACTGTCTTTGACTCCATGGTAAGACTGTTGCAGTGATCCAGGAGTTCCTACCACCAGTTTGGGGTGTCTGCCCTGCTTTCGACAGTCTGCCCGGAGGTGGGGACTCGCGGTTGTGAGCCCCTCCAGACAGTGTGACAAGAGGGTCTGTGAATTCGGGGAGCATCCAGTGGGCCAGGGGCTGGGCGTGCCAGGATGATGCTCAGAGGGTTCGGGGGTCGGGGGGTTCCTATCGCTAATCTGCAGCAAGATGGAAGAGTCTGCGTAGGTGGGGGGAGGGCAGGGCTTGATTTGCCAGGGGCCGGTGGAGTCGGGGAGCTGAGTCCCGGCTCCCTCAAGCTAAGGGCAGGTGGCAAGGCTGGGTACCCCCAGGAAGTGTCACACCCACCAACATGCCCTGGGGGACCATCCTCCCTCACCCCAGTCTGGCAGACCAGATACCTTCCATCTCCAATTGATACCCAGGGCACAGTTGGTGCCTGCCATTCCCAGGGAATGGATCTGGCTGGTGCCCGGTGGGGTGGGGCAGGGGGGTAGACAGAGGTTTCCGAAGGCCGATTCCCCTTGGAGGGGAAAAGCCCCGTAGCACTTTGAGTCATTCGAGCCACACCAGCTGATCACTGCCCACCTCTTTCTGGTGGGAGCCGGCCGTGCCGGAGTGGCCGCAGGAGCTGGGAGCGGTGGAGTGCCTCCCAGGTCCCATCAGGAAGCAGTTCTGTTGTAGTGGCGAGCGACCCATCTTGGGAGCTTTGCCATTGAGGCCCCTGTGAATACCTCAGGTGCGATCCCACCCCGGGACTGCAGGATCGCCCAGTGGTTCTTGTAAACCTTGATGGGCTGTCGTGTCCCTGGAAATAGCTTTAGTGCAAAAACCATCCGACGGATGAAATATTTCTTACCCACAATAGGTAAGAGAGGCGGTAACGTAATAAGTGCACCATGCGTTCCCTAGCAACAGCCCCAGGGGCTCCTGTCCCCTGGAGCTGGCTCGGTGTGGCTTGCTCTTCTGGGCGTTGCAAACTCTGGGCTCTTCTGGGCGTTGACAGAACAAGGAGCAATGGTCTCAAGTTGCAGTGGGGGAGGTCCAGGTGGGATATTAGGAAAAACTATTTCACTAGGAGGGTGGTGAAACACTGGAATGCGTTACCTAGGGAGGTGGTGGAGTCTCCTTCCTTGGAGGTTTTTAAGGCCCGGCTTGACAAAGCCCTGGCTGGGATGATTTAGCTGGGAATTGGTCCTGCTTTGAGCAGGGGGTTGGACTAGATGACCTCTTGAGGTCCCTTCCAACCCTGATATTCTATGATTCTATGTTGCAACCGCTGCAGCCAAGGTTTGCAAGCAAGACCCCCGCATCAGGGCAGTTGGGCCAAAATGTGTGTGAGCGGCGGGTGCCCTGATGCACAGGGGCGCGGTGCCACTCGCCCAACCTTGTCCTGGCCAATCTCTTGTCATCATGCCGGAGGGGTGGCTGGGCCGAAGCTGAGCGGTGCCGGGAACCCCATGCACCAGGTCGCAGCGCCCACAGTGGGGAGACGAGCCCAGCCAGTCCCATTGGACAGGAGCTGACCCCACAGTGCAGGGCAGGCTCTGCAACCTTCCCCCAGAGACAGCACCTGACCCCCCCCCCAGGTCTCCCAGCCCCCCCCCCAGGGGCCAGACCGGATTCCCCCACCTCTCTGGCCCTCCCACAGGTTGAGTAACCCTGGTATAGACACAGCCAGTGAGACCTGGCTTCATTTGGGGGCAGCGGGAGGTGTCTCCTCTTGGATCTCCAATTTTTGCTCCTTTCCCCGCCACTCCGAGACCTCATGTGGGGAGGGGCCACCCTTCCACCCCTGCTGCGCCCTAAACAGCTGGTCAGCACCAATCTTGGGCCTGCCAGCATGACTGATGCTGAAATCTCCCCCTCAGGAGGGGAGCCCCTCGCCCCTCGAGGTGCCAGCCGGGAGTGGGGTGTCTCCAGGATCCAGCCATGCGTCGGGCACTCGTCTCTTCGCCTGGTGGGAAATGCAGCACACACAAAGCAAGGGCGCGGCTCTCCCCATACAGTCGTATCTTTATTGATCCAGGAATACATTTGCCATTATATCGTGGGTAGATACCGGGGTGAAAAGGGCAGGAGAGAGATGACGCAAACCAGCTGCACCATGTAGAACACACGCGACATCACGCCAGCCTGTGCCACGTCTCATCGCGTAAGGCACCATCACCGCTCAGCAGGAATGGGACGAGACCCCCTCCCACTCCACTGCTGCCTGTGCCCAGAGCCAAGGGCAAGGGACTTTGTCTATGGGCTGGTTCCCTCGGGCCTGGCACAGGGGTGACAGCCAGACCGGGCACTCCCCAGAGTGCTGGTGTTTTGGGTGGGTTTGGGGGGTTGCGGCAGGCCGAGGGATGGGGTGGGGATGGTCCTGCAGGTAGATGCCCGCGCCAGCCCGGGCTTGGAGCATGAGAGGCAGGGTCTGAACCGTAACACAGTGGCTGTTCCGGGACAGGGCCGGCTCAGACAGCGAGGCCGAGGGTTGTGTTCACATGGGCCTCTGGAAGGCCGTTTTGCCTGCAGTTTTGTGCCTGCCACGAACCGTGGGCCCCGTGGCTGAACAGAGGCAGGGCCTGGGCCCGTCATCCTGGTGTGGCACTGGGGCCGCTTGCCGGTCAGGGGCTCAGATCCAGGGTCTCCCCAGCCTCTTCACCGCCCCTCTTCCCAATCCCTCCCAGCTCCCAAGACAGCCCGAGACCTCCCCCAGCCTGCTTCACCTCTAGGCCCCCCGTCCAGACTGCTCCCCAGCTCCGGCTCCCCCCAAACACTTCCTCTTCCATTTGGCTCATGACCTTGGTCCCACAGCTCAGCCTCCCCCACCACCCAGGGTGCTCCCCAAAACCCACGTGGTGCCTCTCCCCACTTCTCTAGGCCTCCCCTTCCTTCCCCAGCTGTTGCAGCCGTGTAAAGTCCCTCCCCCATGCCTGGTGCCCCCATGCTCCATTAGTCATTGACCCCATGGTGATGGATTGCTGAATGGGAACGGACGGGGACGGAGCTGGGCCAGCGGCAGCTCTCCCTCCACGACTCTAAACCGCCCCTGCAAACGGGCCCGAATGGCAGTAACAAGCAGCGCTCTCCAGCCACACCTCTCGAAGCTGGGGGAGTTTTCTTGTTCCCATTTCACAGATGGGGAAACTGAGGCGCAGAGTGGGGGAAGGGACTTGACCACACTCACTGACAGAGCTTCAACTGACCCCTTAGAGAGGAGCCGACTAAGAAGGGACCTGATCGAAGCCTATAAAATAACGACTCATCTGGAGGAGGGAGATCGGGAGCTTCTGTTCTCCCTGATTCATAAGACATAAACAAAGGGACGTGCAAAGAAAATTAGAAGGGGACAGATTCAAAAGCTGATAAAAGGAAAATATTTTTTTCACACAAGGCACAATTAGTCTGTGGAACTCACTGCCACTGGAGGTCATTGAGGCCAAAAACTTAGCATAAGTCAAAGGGGACTTGGGCATGTCTATGGGTAACAGGAATATCCAGACTTCTAACTAGCAACAGAGGGTCCTGTGGCACCTTTGAGACTAACAGAAGTATTGGGAGCATAAGCTTTCGTGGGTAAGAACCTCACTTCTTCAGATGCAAGAGAGGTTGTGAGGTTCAAGAGAAGTGAGGTTCTTACCCACGAAAGCTTATGCTCCCAATACTTCTGTTAGTCTTAAAGGTGCCACAGGACCCTCTGTTGCTTTTTACAGATTCAGACTAACACGGCTACCCCTCTGATACCAGACTTCTAACTGTTAGAGATCAGGATTAGCCCGATATCAGGGGCAGATACTCCCTCATCAGCAGCTGAGGGGAGGGTCTCAGACCTTCCTCTGAAACATCTGGTGCTACTGCGGCCTGAGCCAGGATGCTGGGTTAGCTGGGCCGCAGGGCCGCGCCAGTCTGCCAATTCCTGTGAAACCCTGGTCTTCTGGCTCCCACCACCGGGCGCAAGGTCCTGCACCACTGCCAGGTGCTGCCGCTTCCCGCAGCCAGAATCCGGAGACCGGGGTTCGGTTCCCAGCTGTTCTGTGCTGACTTGCTGGGTGACCCCTTCCTAGCCTCTCACTGACGCCCACCCAGGTTCTGCCAGACCGTGAGCACTGGGTGATCGAAACACGATTCCTGAGCCGAGCTGTTCAGACCAGCCACGGAGGGAGCCGTGCTCCTCTTGATCAGCCACCGGCCTGGGCGTCGGGGGCTTCGGTTCTAACTCCACCCCGACCACTGGCTCAGCACGCGGCTTTCAGCAGCTCACCCAGGGCCTCTGTAGCTGTCCAAGGAGCTTTTCATGGCTCCCAAGGCCAGGAGGGCCCACTGCGATCAACTAATCTGACCCCTTCCTCCCCATCCACCCGGCATGACCCAGGCCAGAGACCTGCCCCAGAGCTTTTAGACAAACGTCCAATCATGATTTAAACATGGCACTGATGACAAATCCAGCACAGCCCGTGGTAAGTTGCTCCAAGGGTTAATTACCCTCACTTTCTAAACTGTACATCTTATTTCCAGTCTGAATGTGTCTCGCTTCAACCCCCAGCCGTTGGGTCGTGTTAGACCTTCCTCTGCCCATTACTGAATACTTACAGCCTGGGATCAAGTCACCCCCTGGCCGTCTCTCTGTGAAGCTAACTAGATTGAGCTCCTTGCGTCTATCACTAGAGCACATGTTCTCTGATCCTTTAATCAGCCATGGCTCCTCTCTGACCCCACTGCAGTTTGTCAGCATCCTTCTCAGGGGCTCTCAATGCAAAGGGGCTGGAGGTTTTAAATGTGAATTCGGAGCCTGCTGGCTTGGCTGCCTAGGGCACAGTGTCTGCTCCCCAAATCCCTCCATCTTGACTTGGAGGGAGCCCTTTTCAGGGGGAGCAGGGATTCCAGGGCCCGTTCGATCCTTGGCCCCTCTATTGCAAGCGGCCAGTGAGGGTGCCAGCTGAGATGGTGGGTGATTGTGCCCACCAGGAGCTGAACGGGTACCGACAGCTGAGGCCATCTGGACCAAGCCCAACTGGCTGCCAAGTGGGTCAGGAGGGAGAATCAACGTGTCCAAATACAGAACTGTAGGATGCTCAGAGACAGCCCCGACCAGGTGTGGCATGAGGGCGTGGTGCCCAGACCCACTTGCAGTGAGCGAGGGCTGGAGCAGAGGAGGTAGGGAAAGAAGCGGATGATGGAAACCAAGGCAATGAAGCGACCGGAGGCACGTCGGTCTGTGCGAGGCAGCAAAACACCCAGGCTCTGCCAGCAAACGAGAGACATGGGAAGCCTGCTTGGGCCCAGCTCCCCAGCTGCAGGGCAAAGCCCAGGGCGTTGTTGGCAAGGCCTAGCACAGTCTCTTTCACACACACACTCCCATTGACACACGGAGATTTAGCTCTTTGCCTTTCAAACAGCCCCGCGTGTCTGGGTCAGACAGGTACAAGCAGGCTCTTGGAAAGGGAAGGGCAGGACGTGGACAGCGCTGGTTTCCCATCCGGGAGGCCGTGCTGCCCTCAGCTGTCTCTGAGGGCATGTGAACGAACAAGGGGGGCTGCCTGCTGGGGGCGCTGTGCAGGTGAGCGGGGATCCCAGCCGCTCTGCTCAGGCAGGACGTCCCAGGCGGGATGCGGGGGGTCGGGCTCCCTGCTGGGATCGCCGGCTGAATCTCCCGCAGGGCCAGGGGGATGCTGGTGATGGGCCCTGGGATGCGCCTCCGGCCAGCTGCCACCCCTCAGCACTGCAGAGACCACCCCTCGCCGTCCCCCGTAGGGCAGGGCTGCGCGTGGGGCTGGCTTAGACACCCGGTGGCCCCGGTAAGCCTCGGGGCCCACGCACGCCGGGGTCTCCCTTCGGACCCGGGGGGCCAAGCTGGCCCGGCGACCCTGGCTTCCCTGGGATCCCTGGCTTCCCTTGCGGCCCTGCTGGTCCCACCGGCCCCGGAGCTCCCTCCGGTCCCTGAGGGCCCGTGTCACCTTTCAGGCCCATCTGTCCTTTGAGGCCAGTTTGCCCAAAGTTGCCCTTAGCGCCTTTAAAGCCCGGTACGCCTTTCACGCCAATAGGTCCCCTCTCGCCTTGAGGGCCTGGGATGCCTGGAGGTCCTCTGGAGCCTGGCGGGCCGGGAGAACCCAGGCCCCCGCCATCTCCCTTCTCCCCCTTGCTTCCTGCGGGCCCCTTCACTCCCACGTCGCCTTTGAGTCCTCTGGGTCCAGGGAGGCCAGGCACACCTGGGGAAAGGATCAAGTGGTGAGCGCAGAGCATCGTTAACCAGTGTTACCTTGGTTACAGTGTCCAGGCAATGGGAGAGGAACAGGTGAGAGTGCAGAACATCATTAACCAGTGTTACCTTGGTTACAGTAGCCAGGCAGTGGGGGAGAAACAGGTGGGGAGTGGGGAGCATCGTTAACCAGTGTTACCTTGGTTACAGTGTCCAGGCAATGGGAGAGGAACAGGTGAGAGTGCAGAACATCATTAACCAGTGTTACCTTGGTTACAGTAACCAGGCAACAGGAGAGGAACAGGTGGGGAGTGCAGAGCATCGTTAACCAGTGTTATCTTGGTTACAGTAACCAGGCAACGGGAGAGGAACAGGTGGGGAGCACAGAGAATCGTTAACCAGTGTTACCTTGGTTACAGTGTCCAGGCAACAGGAGAGGAACAGGTGGGGAGTGCAGAGCATCGTTAACCCGTGTTACCTTGGTTACAGTGTCCAGGTAACAGGAAAGAAACAGGTGGAGAGTGCAGACCATTGTTAACCCGTGTTACCTTGGTTACAGTAGCCAGGCAGTGGGGGAGGAACAGGTGGGGAACGCAGAGCATCGTTAACCAGTGTTACCTTGGTTACAGTGTCCTGGCAGTGGGAGCCTGAGTGGTCCTCCTGCCCTGCAGGGGACATGCCACTGGATACCACTGAGCTCGGCAGCTGGAGACCCCTCCCACCCCAGGCAGGTGACACATTAAGGCAACAAAGAACCAAGGTCCACTGACACCTGCCCACGCAGTCCCGGGGCACCAATCATGTGGGAGATCCCTACCCCGTCCTAACCCTGCTCTATGTCACAGAGGAGGGAGAGCCCAGCCAACGCGCCCGGGGAGGGAAGCACCTTTCCTGCCCCTGCTCCCTGCCCCAGGGTGTGGAGAGCGGCTTGCCCCTCTGCCAGAGTCGTTGGGGTTGATCATCCAGCTCCCAGGAAACGGCTGGTGTCTGAGGAATTGTCCGATCTCCAGCTCGGGGGGGGGGGGGGCGTTGTGGAATTGACTGGCAGCACTGGGGGACCACAGGGAGAATTCCACCAGCGGGAGCCAAGGGAAGGCGCCAGGTGCCCATCCCCTGCCAGCGCCTCCTGTTTCCCCTCCCCGCCCGCTAGAGATGCCGTCATGTGTTGACTCCAGCGGCCCTGCCCGCAGAGGGACACACAGCGAGGCACTGTCTGAGGCTAGGGGTTTTGTGGGAGGAGCTGCACCTACTGCCTGGCCCTGCCAGGTCCACAGCTCGTTGTGCATTGCTCCCTTTTTCCATCACAGGATACCAGCAACCAGGAGAGCGGGTGTGTTTGTGCCGGGGAGGCCGCCTGCTCTCTGGGAAGGTGGGATTAAGCCCTGCTCCCCCCTCACCTCTAAGCACTAGAGACTCATGCTCTGTCTCTGGACTGCAACACGCTGCTAGAGGGGGGTTAGCTAACATGGGATGTTCCCTGGTGCTTTTCATGGCGGGAGCACCCTGGCCAAATCCCAGCGTGGGCAATGTTCTCCCTTCCTATACTCCCTGGCTGTAGTGTGTGGCCAACCAGCTGCAGTGCTCCATCCCAGAGGTGGCTGCATTTCAGTGGTCCCTAAAGTAATTCCTGTGCCCTGACTTTCACTCAGCAGGTTCCCAAAGCGGTTTCCAAAAGGCACTCAGGCTCACCGCTCACACACCAGCCTCTGTAGGCGAGCGGGGGCTGGCTCGGCAGCAGGGGGAGGCAGGAGAGCTGGGGGGGGGGCAGGGGAACATGCGACAGCTGGGAGGCGGGGTCTGGAAGTCTCTGCATGTGCGGCTGGGGGAATAGTGACTAGATTGGGGAAGGGTTTGAGGTGGGAGACTGGCCTAGGCACTTGTCCGGTGGGGGACGGGGGGGGTGGGGGGAAAGCAGGGGATGGGGAGGGAGGGCTCTGTAGCTGCTGGGGGGGCAGATATTGATGATAGTGTTATTTATAGCACCCCTGTGCAGGTCAGACCCCTCTCATCCCAGAGCAAGACACTGCAGACCTGAAATGGGCCCTGGCTTCAGAATTCAGAGCTGGGTTTCAAACCCACGTCGGTCAAGGTCTGGGCTTGGAACAGAACCTCTGGCCTTGCCCCATCCTGGTCCCCAGGGGTCATGCCCAGCTGTGTTAACATGCGCCCCTTCTCCATGTGCCACACAGCCCTGGGAAACGCAAAACCCAGTTCCAATTGCTTGTATTGTCGCCAAAGTCACAGTCAGTGTGCTGAAAACCTGTGCAGGGATCTCCCTCCAGCCTCCACCTTCCTCGCGCCCACCCCCGGCCCACAGGCAGCCCAGAGGAGCTGCTCTGGGTGGCAGTGCTGGGGCCCCCCAAGCAGACAGGTCTGGGCAGCACTGGGGTCGGGGACCCTGCTCACAGCACTGCTGTCCCTCTTATAACGGGACTGAAATGCTGCTGGGGGAGATGCGACCATCACTGTGTTCCGTAATCAGGCTCAAGGCTCGGAGACAGGAAAACAGGCCCTTGCTGGTTTCGGAGCTGCCCCAGCGCCCGAGCCGTGCCATCAGGATCAGCCCTGAAGACATGGATTCAGCGGCCAATGAACTTACAGGGCTTGGCTTCTGAGCCAGGCCTGGTACTACCACCCCCTCCCCAAAGGATTTCCAGTCTCTAATAAGCAGTAATGTAGTGAAATGAGCAGCTGGGCCTCAGGCGGTTTCTAGTGGACAGGTGTTCCCCAGACCCTCCTGTGACAGGGCACTGGTGCAGGGGCACAGGGACATGCCCCGGGCATCTGATACAAGCCTGGGCCTTATCTAGTTGGGAGTCAGAAGGCACACGCTAGGCTCATGCATGTCACCTCTAGGAAACTAGATCTAAGGCGCCCTCTGTCATAGGCAGAGGCTGCAGAGACCCAGAGAAAGGGAAAAGGCTCTGGATGTGGGTCAAGTGAATGGTCCTGGGCAAGGACAGAACACGTCTGGGGTCACCCCAAATGACACGTCTCTGCTGCCGTTAGGTGGTTCGGAAGTAGCTGGCACGTACCACTCCCTGACGTGGGGGTTTCCTTCTCTGCTAAGCCCTGTCCCCTGCCACCCCCAGCACCTCCTCCCTGTTATAAATGCTCCGTGCAGAAGAAAGTGACTATGACTATATATCTCCTGAGTCCCCGCCAGTCAGTGGCAAGTGACACGTGCCAATCATTTCAGAACCAGCTAACGCTGGCCAAGACATGTCAATGCCGAAGAGGAGGTGACCTGCACTGTTTGAGTCTGGGTGCTTTCACCATGGTGTACAGAAGGGAAACTGAGGCAGCAGACAGGTGACCTGAAGTGGGGAGCTGACTCTAGTACATGTCTGAACTGGAGGTTTCTGACTGCAGACACAGGCTTTTGGGTGGTTCTCAGGCCAGCGATTCTGCCACTAAAATTTCAGGGCGGAGATTTCAAAAGCAAGAAGTGCCGGACATGAGATACCTTAAAGGGGCGGGTTTTCCACGGGTGGGGGCTCAGCGCTTTCGGCAAATCAGGTCCCAGATCAGGTCTCCAGCCACTGTGATCTGCTCAGCCCAGGGCAGTTGGTGTTACAGCTGCTGCTGTGGTGGGTGCCACACGTACGGGACGCCGGCTGAGAGGGAGACCGCGGGCTGGTGTCCACACATCAACCAGCACCCCTCCCCCCGCCACATTCCCATCCATCCACACCCACATCCACCAACTCCCATCCACACATCGTAACACACAGACTCATCGCAAACCGCCCACCCACACATCACACAGCACCCCTCCCCCCACCGCACCCCCATCCCTCCACACCCACATCCACCAACTCCCGTCCACACATCGTAACACACCCCCACACATCACAATGCACAGCCATTCCCCACACCCACACATCACAGCACCCCTCCACCCACCACAGGCCTTTGCAGGGTTAGTGTTGTCCTCAGGGCATTTCAAGCAGCTGCATTGGGAGTGAGGGCCCCTGGCTAGCCACAGAACGGGGAGGGGGCAGATTCCATGCAAGCCGCCCCCACGCTGACTCCTGCTCGCACGCCCCAGACCCGACCAGCAGCAACCCCCTGTCATGCGGAGGGAGAAACAAGTCTCTAAGGTGCCACAAGTACTCCTGTTCTTCTTTTTATTGAATACACAGCCTGTGTATGAGGGTGTGGGAGGAGGAGGGTGTTGGGTGTGCTATGATGTATGTGTGTGTTGTGATGTGTGGGTGGATGTATGTGGGTGTGGGGAGGTGTTGTGTGTGTCTGATGATGTATGAGTGTGGATGGGTGCATGTGGGTGTGGAGAGAAGGGGCTTCAGTGTGTTTAGGGGTGCGTTGTGATGTGTGTGTTACGGTGTGTTGATAGGTGTGTGTATTGAAGGGAGAGGGGGTTGCGTGTGGGGGGATGTGTTGTGATGTGTGTGTGTATGTGATGTGTAGTTGGGTGTGGGAGGAGAGGAGAATTGTGTATGGGGGGGATACGTTTTGATGTGTGTGTTACAGTGTGTGGGCCAGTGTATGTGGGTGTGGAGGGGAGAGAGGGTGGGTGTGGGGGGATGTGTTGTGATGTGTGTGTGTGTGTGTTATGGTGTGTGGGTGAGTGTATATGGGTGTGAAGGGGAGAGGGGGTAGAGTATGGGGATGCGTTGTGGTGTGTGTGTGTTACAGTGTGTGGGTGAGTGGATGTGGAGAGGAGAGGGGGTTGGGTGTGGGGATGCGTTGTGATGTGTGTGTGTGTTACAGTGTGTGGGTGAGTGTATACGGGTGTGAAGGGGAGATAGGGTTGGCTGTGGGGATGCATTGGGGTGTGTGTGTGTTACAGTGTGTGGGGTATGGGTGAGTGTATATGGGTGTAGAGTGGAGAGGGGTGTTGGAGGTGCATTGTGATGTGTGTGTGTGTGTGTGTGTGTGTGTGTGTGTGACACACATGAAGAAGGATGACACTACAGACACTACAGAAAGGATGTGGACAAATTGGAGAGAGTTCAGCGGAGGGCAACGAAAATGATCAGGGGGCTGGAGCACATGATTTGCAAGGAGAGGCTGAGGGAACTGGGGTTATTTAGTCTGCAGAAGAGAGGAGTGAGGGGCAGCATTTGATAGCTGCTTTCAACTACCTGAAAAGGGGATTCCAAAGAGGATGGATCTAGACTGTTCTCAGTGGTACCAGATGAGAGAACGAGGAGTAATGGTCTCAAGTTGCAGTGGGGGAGGTCTAGGTTGGCTTTTAGGGAAAACAATTTCACTAGGAGGGTGGTGAAGCACTGGAATGGGTTCCCTAGGGAGGTGGTGGAATCTCCTTCCTTAGAGGTTTTTAAGGCCCGGCTTGACAAAGCCCTGGCTGGGATGATTTAGTTGGGGTTGGTCCTGCTTTGAGCAGGGGGTTGGACTAGATGACCTCCTGAGGTCCCTTCCAACCCTGCTATTCTATGATTCTATTCTATGATGTGTGAACTCCAGCCCTGTTTTCACCAGGGAGCTGGCAGGTCATGGTTTCCCTCTCAACTGGTGTCTCCTAGGTGTGGCACCCACAGCAGCAGCAGCGGTAACCCCAGCTGCCTGGGGCCGAGCGCATCACAGCAGTTAGCCCTGATGGAGACACTACATAGGGGCCTGCAATGCTGCAAGCGCTGAGCCCCCCCCCGCCATCATTGAGAACCAGGCCCTTTCAAGTGTCTCATATCAAGCACCAAAGATCACTCATCGCTTCTGAAATCACGGCCCTGAGATTTTTTGTGGCAGAACCAGCGGCCCAAGATACCTCCAAAAGCCCCTGTCTGCAGCCAAAATCCTCCAGTTCAGACACATACAAGAGCTAGCTCCCCGCTTTGGGTCACCGGTCTGCTGCCTCGGTTTCCCCTCTGGGCTCCCTGGCGAACGCGCACACACTTACGTGGGTCACGACCACAGAAGAGCTTATGAGCTTGCTACTTCTTCCACCCCAGGGGCCTGGTTCTTTACCGCTGGCAGTCCCGGGTTCAAGCCCCGGACCGGATGTACCCACATGCAACTCACCTCGTACGATGGTGACGTTGCGCAGGATCTCCCCATGCCTCACGTCCACCACTTTCATTTCCTCCATGATCATGGACAGGTTCCGGATGTCGAAGTCCAGCCGGGCGCTGAGCAGGCTGAACCGCTCCCGCAGCAGGTCCGTGGTGCCCAGCATCAGGCTGACGGACTTGTTCAGGTAATACAGCTCCTCGGCGTGGGCGTGGAAGCCCAAGGTGCAGGAGAGCCGCACGTCGTCCAGGTACTTGAGCATGCTGTGCACATGGCTGTCTGTGGCGTTGATGTTGGTGAAGATGGTGCTGATCTCGATCTCGTGCGAGGTCATGCGCCCCTCCAGGGTCTCGAACTGCTCCGCCGTCCGGTTCTGCGTGTACCTGGTGTGGTACTGCAGGTCGTGCATGTTCTCCTCGTGGTCGTCCAGGAAGGAGGAGATATTATCCAGCTGCAGCTGGAGCCCCATCACCTGCAGCACCAGGTCATGCATGCCTTCCGAGTTCTGGCTGATCCTCTGCGAGGCCAGGCTCATGCTGGCTTGGATGCTCTTGACCAGCTCGCTGGTCTTGGAGGAGGTGGCCCTCAGGCTTCCAAAGAGCCGGGTGTAGTTCTGCCACTCGGTCACCATCTTCTGCAGTGTCAGCGTCTCCTCGTCCGTCTTCCGCTGGATGGCGTGGATCCACTCCGAGGTCTGCCCCACCGTGAAGTTCATCTGCTCCACCACTGCCTTGACGTCGTACCGCTCCTGCAGCAGCCCCTTCAGGGAGTCATCCAGGGCCGAGGTGGCCGCCTGCCAGCCTCTCACCTGGGCGAGGAAATGCCCCAAGGTCTGGTTGACCTGCCGGATGGAGAACGAGCAGCCGTCCATCTCACTGGTGATCTTGCTGCTGGTGGATGAGAGCTGCTGGTACCCCTGCGAGGTCCGGTCCAGCAGGATCTCCTGCACCAAGAGCATCTTTTGAATCTCCTCCAGCTCTTCCTGCAACTTGCTTATCTCCTGCCCCAGCTGCCCTGTGTCATGGCAGAAGGAGCAGTTCCCCAAGGATTTCTGATCTGAATGAGAGATACATAGCTCTGTCATGCTGTGCACCAAGCAACGACACACGAGTCAGCTGTGGAGAATGGACACATTCCCCCTCGGACTAGACCCTAGTCTGCGAGGCTCTCTCCACAACACATTCTTCTCCCCATGTTCTCTGGGATTCCTAAGAGTTGGACACAGATACTGCTAAGCCACATGTGGGTGAACTACAGATCTCTCCAGCGGGGGAGGCCCAAGAACCAGGATTGCCTGGGTTCTCATCCCAGCTCTGACACTGAATCCCTGCACAGCCTTGGGCAAGTCACCTAATCGCTATGTGCTTCAGTTTCCCCCACATGTAAAACAAGGACAGTGGTACTTATCCTGCCTTTGGAACACACTTTGCCATCGATCCATAGAGTGTTCTCAGGATTATTATGATCTAGCTTTCCCATGTTTCCTACAGGAACTTCTACATGTATATTGTGGGAGAGATGTAGGCCTTCCCTCCTCCCCCCCGGACTTCCTCCTAGTTCTTCCTCCAGTCAGGATAGAGGTTCACACTGAAGGCTCTCTGAGACCTTCCCTGCAGCAGCCCCCTTCCATCTGCTAGAGCAAACAGCAGCTTCCACTGACCACCAACCCCCCTAATCTCAGCCAACTAGTGACCCCGCAAAGTCCCTTAACTCCAAGGGCTACTCTGCTGCCCGAGGGATCGCAGCCCATGGTCAGGAGATGTAATGGGGCCAGTGCTCCGTGGAGATCAGAACACTCACCGAGCTCCTGGAGGTTCTCCTGGACAGACACGATCTTCTTCTCGTAGTAAGTCTGGGCCGAGCTGATGTCATCAGCTATGGAATTAACTTTCTTAAAGACTGCAGGGAAGAGAGAGATGGGAATATGGGGTGGGGTCTGTGCTTTCAGCTCTTCTAGGTTAAGTGAGTGAATAATGATATTTTTCGGGAAACCAAATTGTCCAAAATGGATCCTCTTCCAATAGAAAGAGCTGTTAGTCGGTTTTAGCATTAGCAGACATTTTGGGCCAGATCCCCAGCTGGGAGAAACCGATGAAGCTCCGCTGAACTCAATGGGGCCAGATCCCCATCTGGTGTAAATAAGCATAGCTCCATTTAAATCAGTGGGGTCAGGTTCCCAGCTGGCATACATTTCCACCAGCTAAAGTCCTGACCTTTCATCTTTTGAATATATAAGAAATGGAAGAAAGTGGAAGTTGACGTTAATGAAAATAAATCAGAAGCTAGGTATTGTAGAACAATGATAAGGGATGCAAAGGGACACGTGGCGAAATCCATGGCCAGCAGAGTTAAGGACAATAAGGAGTTTTCTAAGTATATTAGGAACAAAAAGAATCCTGACAATGGTATTGGTCCATTACTAGATGGAAATGGTAGAACTGTCAATAGTAATGTAAAAAAGGCAAAAGTGTTCAATAAATATTTCTATTCTGTATTTGGGAAAAAAGCAGATAATGCAATCTCAGCATATGATGATGATAACCCCCTTTCCATTCCACTAGTATCTCAGGAGGATGTTAAACAGCAGCTACGAAAGTTTCACATTTCTAAATCAGCGGGTCAAGAATTTTAAAAGAGTTGGCCGAGGAGCTCGCTGGACCACTAATGTAGATTTTCAGTAAGTCTTGGAACACTGAGGAAGTTCCAGAAGACTGGAAGAAATCTAATGTTGGGCCAATAGCTAAAAAGGATAAATGGGATGACCCGGGTATTTATAGGCCAGTCAGCCTGACATCGATTCCACGGAAGACAATGGAGCAGCTAATATGGGACTCGATTAATAAAAAAATTAAAAGGGTAATGTAATTAATGCCAATCAGCATGGGTTTACGGAAAATAGATCCCGTCGAGCTAACCTGATATCTTGTTGTGATGAGATATGTCTGTTACAGCTGTCCCCCTGCAGGATTCCTTTCTGTTTGTGCTGTGTGGCCGCCCCCCGGCCATGGAACTGACCAAAGTCACAGCCTGGCTCTGCTCATGGAAATGGCTTGTGCAGACTGACTGGAGCCATTGCTCTGCTCAGGGAGGGGGGCTTTTCGCTCCTTTGTCTAGCTTCTCTGTTCAGGACCTGGCTCCCTGTAGGGTGCTCTGCCCAGGTATGCGAGACCTAAAGTGGCCACATAGCTGAGCATATGAGTCATACCTGTGGCTCAGAACATGCCTATGCTTACCTGCAGTTTCCCTGCCGTCTCTCCTCCCCTGGATTAAGAGGAGCCAATCAAAGTTACTGGCGGGAAACTGCCTGAGTTTGCCCTTCAAACCAGACATTTTCTGATCAGACCCCCGGAGAAGGTCCTTGCTTTGCCACCTGGTCTGATCAGCTAAGAGTCTTTGGGGGGCCCTCTCCCCGCTCTCGTTTGTTTTTGAGCGTACCCCCGTTTTTAAACTCCCCTCCCACGAACAACGAATTTGTGCCTGGAGATCTCCTGATTATTGTAAGCGAATCGAGTCCTCTCTGCGTCCTCTGATGCTAAAACTGCTGTTCCTGCTGCTGCTTTGGGGATTGGTAAGGAAAAACCTCTTGCACACCCCCCTTGTTCTAGCTGCTGGCTTTCTTTCCCCCAGCAGGCAGACCCAAGCTAACCCCTTGAAGCTGTATCCTGGGCACACACCACTCTGCCCTCTGAAACTACCCCAGTATAAGGTGCACCCATTAGGTTAAATTTAGCCTTTAGTCTAGATAAATTGTAATTTCATTTTGCATAGCTGTGGTTAAGTTAGGTTTAGAAAATTGCTTGCATTGTACCCTGTAAGTTAGGCTTAAAGAATTGTTGCATTGTGTTTTGTTACTTGTACTTGCTAATTTGTGTAGTCTTGGTTAAGTTAAATCATAGATAAGCTTTTGCTGTGTTCTGTATAATTATCTCTCTGCTGTTTAAACTTGCAGCCTGTCTGCTCTCTGTGTCTCCCTGAGTTTAAATCTCCCTCCACCACGTGCTCCTCTTCCCCATCCCCCAACCTCATTCCTCTACCACTTTCTTCCTCTCTCTCTCTCTTTTAATCCCCTCCCCCACGTGCTCACCCCGCTCCTACTGCTGCCAAACCTCAATTGTATTACTGAAGTCTAGCATAAAACCCCATTGGTTACCCCTTTTCTCTCTAACACACCTCACATTTTACATTTACACCACTGTGACACATTTTTTACCTAAAGTTGTTGGTTAGTTAACACATTTTACCCATACTGTTAGTTGGTTATATGCTGCTGTGACACACCCTTTACATAGAAATTGTTAGCTACCTGTTACATTTATATTTCAGTGTTAATTGGTTACCAACTGTATTGTACCCCACTGTATTGTACCCCACCATTGAAACCCCCTATCCTATTTACTAAAAGAAACCCCTCCCCAATTGTCTACCTTAACAAACCCCATACCCCTCACTGTTGAATTTTCCCTGTTTTTGCATGTTCTTAATAAAGTTTATTTTGCACCCCACCAGTGCAGTAGTTGTCCCCCAACATCCCCTACCTGCTGGCAGGGTCAAGATTAATAACATAAAACATAAGAACTATCATATTAGGTCAGACTGATGGTCCATCTAGCCCAGTATTTAAATTAAATTAATGGAGATATGCTATCTCCTAGAACTGGAAGGGACCTTGAAAGGTCATTGAGTCCAGCCCCCTGCCTTCACTAGCAGGACCAAGTAGGGATCTGGGGCAAAATCAGTAAGTGGCCCCCTCAAGGATTGAACTCCCAACCCTGGGTTTAGCAGGCCAATGCTCAAACCACTGAGCTAGCCCTCTCCCCCTGATATTCTGTCATCTGATAGTGGCCAGTGCCAAATGCTTCAGGGGAAATGAACAGAACAGGGCAATTATTGAGTGATCCATCATCCAGTCCCAGCTACTGGCAGTAGGAGGTTTAGGGACACCCAGAGCATGCCCCCTGACCATTTTGACTAACAGCCATCGATGGTCCTATCCTCCATAAATGTATCTAATTCTTTTTTTAACCTAGTTATACTTCTGGCCTTCGCAACATCCTCTGGCAATGAGTTCCACAGGTTGACTGTGTGTTATGTGAAGAAATACTTCCTTTTGTTTGTTTTATGCCTGCTGCCTGTTAATTTCATTGGGGGACCCCTGGTTTTTGTGTTCCATAAAGGAGTAAATAACACTTCATTACTCACTTTCTCCACACCAGTCATCATTTTATAGACCTCTAGCATATCTCCCCTTAGTCGACTCTGTTCTAAGTCACAGTCTTTAAGCCTTTCCGCATATGGAAGCTGTTACATACCCTCAATCATTTTTGTTGGCCTTCTCTGTACTTTTCCCAATTCTAATATATCTTTTTTGAGACAGGGCAACCAGAACTGGATACAGTATTTAAGATGTGGGTGTACCACAGACTTACATAGTAGCATTATGATATTTTCTGTCTTATTATCTATTCCTTTCTTAATGGTTCCTAACATTCTGTTCGCTTTCTTGACTGCCGCTGCACATTGAGTGGATGTTTTCAGAGAACTAACCACAATGACTCTGTCATAAACATACAGCTAAGGGTAGCACAAAATCCCTCCTTTACCTGTAAGGGATTAAGAAGCTCAAATAACCTGGCTGACACCTGACCAAAAGGACCAATAAGGGAAGAAGATCCTTTCAAATCTATGGGGGGAAGTTTTTGTTTGTGCTCTCTTTGTTGTTCTCTCCAGGACAGAGAGGGACCAGGGCAGGAAAAAACATCTCCTAAAACCCTACCTGAAATAAGCATCTAAGATTACGAAAATTGTAAGTAATAGCAAGGCAAGGCATTAGATTATCTTTCATTTTAGCTTGTGAATTTTCCCTATGCTAAGAGGGAGGTTTATTCCTGTTTTTTAGTAACTTTGAAGTTTTGCCTAGAGGGGAAAACCTCTGTGTTTTAAATCTTATTACCCTGTAAAATTAGCTTTTTTTTCTTTATAATAAAGTTCTGCTTTTAAGAACCTGATTGGTTTTTAGTGTCCTAAAAACCCACTGGTCTGGTCTGTGCTCACCTTGTTTACCCATTTGGTTGGTATATTATTCTCAAGCCTCCCCAGGAAAGGGGGTGAAGGGCTTGGGGGGATATTTTGGGGAAACAGGAACTCCAAGTGGTCCTTTTCCTGAATCTTTGTCTTGGTGGTGGCAGCAATACCGTCCAAGGACAAGGAAGAATTTGTGCCTTGGAGAAGTTTTTTAACCTAAGCTGGTT